AGCATAATACCTCAATAGCTATGTATGTACGATCATATAAGATGATGTTATGTCAAAAGGCGAACTTTACAACTTTGGTGGTGGGGGTGGGGTGGGGGGGAGATGGGAAGGGATGAGACGAGGAAACAAAGAAGGAGGCAACAATGCTTGATAAGAAATGTACTCATTATCTTGTCCATGTAATTGTAACCCCTCTGTATGGTATTTTCACGATTAAAAAAGAAAAGAAAAGATAACCATTACAAAATAAATAAATAAGATGATGCTAAGTGAAATGAACTCCAAGAACTGGACACAGAACTGGTCCAGTTGTTTTCTGGACCATGTTAAGATAGTGCTTCCCTTTTTTAGTTACATACATTCTTAGCCTGTTTATTAAATATCATATTTTAAGTAGCAACACATAGTAGCATAGCAAATACAAAACAGTATCACACTAAATATTTTAAATCAGAATGTATTTTCTTATTTAATTTTTAAATTGGAAATATGACTTGGATTCTTAAACAGACTGTTTACCCATTCTAGAACTGTGAAACACATGAACGACTATTTTATAGCCATAGTTCAAAACTTGACACCACTCTACTCCCCTTGTGACCTTAGACAAATCCTTAATTTCTGTGAGCCACACTTTCATCTTCTGCAAGCCTGTAAATGTAATCAGACTTAGGTAAGGGGATACGTTGGAGATAAAACATGAAGAGATTTTTTTAATTCAAAAGATTGTTTCAACATATCTACTTTTCTAACATACTGGTCTTCAATGTGAACATAAGTCCTTGCCTATAAAGATGGAAATTCTAATTCTTCTCACTTTGGAAGTTAGCAATGACTGTAATTGTATAGAAGGAAATATGGTATGACTTCCAAAACCAGTTTCCAAAAAGCTCTTTTGTGCTTGTGGAGTCTGATTGTCCTAAAATGTTCCCTCTGGAGGTAGCGGTTGATATAGACGTACAGACAACCCTGAGAAAGTCTCGCTGCAGAGGCTCCGTGGAGGTGTGCCAATGGAAAACACCAACTGAGCCCACTGTACGCCATCAACACTGGCAAACAGCCACTTCTGAGATGTCTTGCCTCTCAGGCTTCTGAATCTCTCTGCACTGTAACTACAGGAAATATTTAAGAACAGCCAGAGTAGAGTCACTAAGTAATGCTCACTGAGCAGGTCTTAAATCAAATTTATGATCCACAAAATCATATTGAAAAGAATATGGATGTTTTCTTGCACAATTTCTTAGCGTGACTTACTATGCAACAAAAATACTTGCAATAAATTGGGATAATTTTGTTTGGTGATTACTAAAATGGCATTAGCATAAATTTTGTTGGGCAGCTCCTAATACTCATGAACTTGTAATAATTATACAAAGGAAAGGAAGCTACTGCATCATACTGGATTGGCCAACTCTATTCCTACTTCCATGATGGAAGTAAAAGGAAATCAAATCTATAACCATAGAGGAATATGTCTTTCCTAAGCCTCTCCACTCTTTTTTCTCTTCTCAAAAAAGTCCTTCCATAAAAACTAGTTCTCCATTGCTCAATCTGTGGTGGTAACCATTATGTATTTTCCCCATAAGTGAATGTTCTTCATTTCTAGAACATTCTATTGTATGAACTAGATACCACAGGATATTGTACCATTTAGTTACTGCGTCTTATAAAGTAATGGTGTTAGTTTATAATGTTACTTTTAAAAGGTTTGTCATGTTGCTAAATAAAATTAACAGTCTGAATATCAGGATATTAAAAGTATTTCACAGGATATTACCTACACATTTGTAATTCCATGAAAGCTTTGACTAGTTTCTTCATGAGAATAACTATAATTTCATTTAACTTTCAAAGCCACTGTCAGGATTTTAAATAATTGTTAAGGACATTTTTCTGCTAAAAAGAATTAGATTTAAGAGATACTTTCCAAACTGTGAAATTAAATCTATCTAGAGCACTTCAAGTTATGATCATATTAAGAATATTCCTAGTTAATCAATCAATCAATCTCAGGGGTAAAAATGTAGAAACTTATTTGTACCAGAAAGCTATGTCAGTATAATCTGTGCTAGATATTATTTAATTAAACCTCAGTTATCAGATTTTATGCCATCTATTAATTAGTAAATCAAATTTATTCAGAAGAGAAAGATAAACAATAAATAAGGAAGAGTATAATAAAGAATGACAACAAGAAACTGTGCTTCAAAATTTATAGAAATGATCAAGATGATAATGTTTTGAATGGCTACCTAATACTTTATATGTTTTGTAACATGCCCTTCATCTTTCTTCTAATTACAAGAAATAAGAGTTATAAACATTTTAAATATGAAGAAATTTTATTGAAAGGTTCAAATAATGTTATTAAAACTGAAAAATTAAAATGGGAAATTTGAAATTCAAAACAAGATTTTCAACTTCCAAATTCAGTGTAATATTATACTTTTGAAATTTATTGTTGAAGAAATAAAGAATACTAGGAGAAAAGAGTATTATTGTTATTAAGATATTAGCCAGAGATTTTTAAAATATCATTGGGTAATTTTCACAATAGAAAGTCCATTTTGGGCTGGAAAGATGGCTCAGTGGTAGAGCGCTTGCCTTGCATGCATGAGGCCCTGGGTTCGATTCCTTAGCACCATATAAGCAAAAAGAAAAAAGCCAGAAGTGGCGCTGTGGCTCAAATGGTAGAACGCTAGCCTTGAGCTGAGAGACAGCGCCCAGGCCCAGAGTTCAGGCCCCAAGACCAGACTCCCCCCCCCAAAAAAAATTAGAAAGTCCATTTTTTAATTTATCCACTAGAAATAAATTGTTTTAATTTTCTTTATCCTCTGAATAAATCTGAATAAAATTTCTCTTACTTTTTATGATTGAATTTCAAAAAATAAAAAGTTAAAACACTTTAATATACAGATTATTTAATAGAGTAAATCCTGATAACTATTAAAAAAATTTCGCATGTGGTATGGGATAGCCTAGGGTACAGTTCTAAGAATATGTGTGTGTGTGTGTGTGTGTGTGTGTGTGTGTGTGTGTGTGTGCGTGTCTGAATGTGTGTGTGTGTATGTGTATTACAGCTTGTGGTTAACCACATTTTAATGATAAAATAAAACTAGTATGTAGCTCATTCTCAGTATGTACATATAGAAATAACAATAAAAATAAAGATAATTTTAAGGATAGTACTTTTAGGAATTTTAAGGTAGACAGAAAAACAGAAAAGCAGAAAAAGCAGAAAAGTGTATACTGCGTATGTGTAAGTTCAGTTAATAAGAGCTAAGGGCATGAAATAATCATGCCAGAATAATCTTATCCATGAAAATATGCTAAATTGAAATATGAAAGCAATTCCCTACAGTATGAGATACCACACTAAATTTTCATTGTTACAGAAAATTAACACTTTTCAGAATAGACAGATTCCACATAATGGCTACAATTTTCTGTTAACTCAATAATATTTCTTCTTATTACCACAATTCTAAGATTGCATTCACATTTTATAATTTAGTTTTTTCAAATGAAAGTTATAAAATATGTATGTCAAAAGAGTGTACCTATAACCCACTGCCATAAACATTCCATCACGGGGAGGAAATGGGGCAGAAAACGGTGACATTTATGAGAACTCAACAGTCCAACAAGTAAAAGACAAGAGAGATATCTCAAATTGATGAAAACTTTAACACTGACAAAAATCATCTTAATTCTTATTTTTTCTATCTTTATTTTAGTGAATTATGAATTTCATCTTTTCATTCAATCACAACCTTCTTTCTCTCTTTCATTCCAGTGAATTTGTGGCAATGTTTAACCAATTTCTAAAATAGTTGAAAGCATTTTCTGTGTGTGTGTGTGTGTGTGTGTGTGTGTGTGTGTGTGTGTGTGTGTGTGTGTGTGTACAAGCATGCACGTGCACGCACTGGTCAGTCCTGGGAAGGCTGCCTGTCTCTGAGTGTTTCTTTTCTTTTTCTTTTCTTTCTTTTTTTTTCCCCTTAGTCTCCTGAACTTTCTGGCCCCATCTGGCTTGGAACTGTGATCCTCATATTGCCAACTGCTGAGTAGCTAGTACTATAGGAGTGTGCCACCGATGACCAGTTAGTTGATTTTTGTCAAAAAAAAATGCTGTTTATATTTATTTCTTTATTGCACTGCATTATAGTATATTTATGTACATATATACATACTCTTTTTTATTTGGTTCTATTCTATGTATTATATAGCTCAAATTAGTTTTGCTTTAATATACACAGATAGAGTAGAAGTTTAAAATATTGTATAGATTGAATGTAAAGATTGAATGTACCAACAGTCACGGAAACGACTTAATGAATAATTTTGAAAAACTCTAAGACAGTTAATTTATTCAAAACACTTTTAAAATGCTACATCTTGACTCATTTTTATTCTCTAATGTTATTTTCAGACTGACTTTGTGGTAGAGAAATCATTCCAATTAATTTAACTATTTAACTGACTTTATGGGTAACTCAGTAAATTTGTGGCTCATGAAATTTTGTAACATTAAAAACTCAGCTGGTAAACTTATGTACAAACAAAAGGTATAGAAATAAAAAAAAAAAAAGAGACAAAGTGGGAAAAAGAAAAAAAAGACACAAAGTATAGAAAAATACAATCTCTTGCTTCCATTTCCTGGAGTTCATTTCCATAAACATCACTTTTATCTTGTATGTAAGTTTATCTGATTTGGGAAGGGGAAGGGGAAGCAAGAAATGGTAGGACAAAAGGTGAACTAATTCACCAGTGATCCTCCCGAGACACTATGTTGAAAATAAACTATAAACTCTGGGGGAGGGGTTAAAGGGAAGGAGTGGAAGGAAATGTTGGGAGAAAATGAGGTGGGTCTAACACTGTTCAAAGAGATACGTATTCAGTACCTCACTTATATAACTGCAACCCCTTTGTCCATCACCTTTATAATAAAAATTGAATAAAACTACCCAACTAGATCACTGTATATTTTGAGTCACTGTTACCTTATCGCCTTCAGAAAACATGACGCCATCCATAGCTCTTTTCCAAGTGATTTCTGGAATAGGTTCCCCTTCAGCTTCACAGATGAGTGTGACATGACCATTCTCAGATGTAGTCTCATTTTTAAGTTGTATGATATGAGGCTGTACTGTAGAAAATGTATATATTACTGAATTGGCATTAGAGTACAATGTTCAGGCTTTAAAACCCACAGGGGATATGAAGCCACATTAGTGCAGAATGAAAGGAGTAACTTAGGAGCAGTTGTAGTAACATGCTTTGATTGCTAGAGTACCAAGGGTGTTGCAAAAAGAATGAGAAAAACAGCTTTAGGAAGTTACGTTCCTCCACTCTCATTAGAATAACAAGGTGATGAATTAGAAATCAATTTACAAGAATAATTCCTGTCAACATTTACCAAATTTTAAATCTGCAGTAATTCATTGTGCTCTTAAAAGCACAAAATTAAAATTGCCTGCTTTAAACCATATATTTATGAATATATGTGTGTATGTACATCTACATCAAGAATACAATGTACTTGCATCTAACTCTTCCCTCAGTCTTCCTCATGTCTTTCCCACTTGATAAATCAATCTCAATAAGCTTCAATACTACATTCCCACTAAGAACATAAAATATTTTGTCCATAACATCCTTCTGTACACTTTCTGTCCCTCATCAATCTCACCACGACTTGTTTTTCATGCCTGTCTTTCATTATTTTAGTATACCCTAATTAGAAAAAAGATTCATCATGGTATTTCACATACACATGTACAGTATTGTAAATAGATTGACCTCCTGATTTACTCTTCATTTCCTCTCTCCACTTTCCCCTATTGTTCAACGGCTTTCATTATAAAATGTTAATTCACAGATGCAATTCATTTTCTTATTGTTTATCCTCTGTCATTTTCTCCCCATCTAGCTACTCAAATTGTCCCACAAATATCATCCTGTTGTAGATATTTATATGTACAGATCTTGTGTAGGTTTATATATTTATTTATCTTTGCTATCTAGCATCCACATAGGAAAAAAGGCATGACACATTTGGTCTAACAGTGTAGTTTTAACCACTATGCTATAATACTTACCAAAGACTTGGAGGAATGCTTGCTTTTCATCTTCTCCTGCCTTGTTAGTGGCTCTGCAGACATAAGGGCCTGCATCACTGTTGATTATGTTCCTGACGGTGAGTTCTGTGTTGCTTGCCTTCAATAGGTACTTTTCATTTTCTTCAATGAGCCTACCATTCCTAAATAAGAAAAAGAAAAAGAAAGGCTGATTTTTGTAAAGTTGACCACAATTAAGGAGACTTTTCTGTTTATAGGCTAGCCATCAATTAGTTCATGGCCATTTGTATTGAGAGACAATCAAATGTGTATGTGGGTACACATGTATTATTAGTGTCATTTTTGGTGAGAATAGGGTTTATTTGAACTCCTATTTGGAAAGCAAGTTCTCTAACAAGAGTCTCACTTCCAATTCTGTTTGGGTTTTTGTTTTTATTGTGATGGTAAAGGTTTTCAGTTATTATTTTAGATAAGAATCTTGAAATGTTATCTGGGACGATCTAGGACAACAATTCTGCCACCTGTACCTCTTCATAGCTGGCTTGCAGATATGAAGCACCATGACCAGCTCATTTCTTTTTGAAATGGTATCTTGTTAGCGTGTTTTCCTAGCTGGCCTCTAACTATGATCCTCTATTCTTTGTCTCCCATTATAAACAATTGAGTTTTAAAATGTCATTTTGATATCTGACCATCAATAGAATTCATCATATTAATGAAATATTAACACAAACACACAGGGTATTTCAGTTGAGACAAAAGATGGAACAGAAATCAAGGGAAAAATTATGGAGAATCACTGTCTTTGCTCATGCCTTGATAGACATGTCATTAAGTGTTTTTGGTTTCTTTGTGAAATATTCTTTAATACACAGGCTTGAGTCTTTTATTGTGAAACCTCCGTAAGCAATGAGCTCCTAACTTCCAAGAAGGAATTCTTATTTGGCAGTAAAATGAGGACAGTCACATGCATGAGGCCTTCATCTGATGATACCTCTGCTCTGAAATGAGACAGGAGAGATGCGTAGGATCCCCTTCATCCACATATAGGCCTGGAGGGGACTGAATATGAAAATGTCCTCCTGTGGAGCCAGGGAAGAGAGGCTTTTTCAAAAACCAGCCTGAAAATGGTGCCATGACTTTCGACATCTAGGTTTCAAAATCATGGAGGCATATATTTCTGGTGTTAAAGCCGCACAGTCTTAACTATTTTATGATGGAAACCTAAGGTTATGAAGGCAATGGGCTTCATTGCTATTACTTGGAAACATTATCCCTTTTCATCATGTAATCTGGATCCCACTAGTAATCTCACTGCTTGTTCCACAATCCTTGGTGTTGAAAGGATTTTTTAAAAATATACTAATGATATACATTCACCTAGAGATACATGAAGTATACATGAAGTATAAAGTAATATTTATATCTGTAAATGTCAATATTTTATTCCTCTAATACATAGTTATATTGATTCTAAAATAACTATTTAAGCTTAAAATAAAATTTCATTCTATTTCAACCAGGAGATAAAAACAATGGAACAATGGAAAATGAAAAATGGAAAATATGTACATGGACATTTACAAATATTAATTACCATTACATTTTCTTCTGAATGTGGTTTATTCTAACCCTTATATTCTCATTGAAAAGAGAGCAAATTTAAACAAATCTTAAATTTGAAATAAACTTAAGTGGAAAGTAAATATTGCTGAAAAAAATCATCAGGAAAACATTTTTAGTACAACCAGGTACTGGTGGCTCACACCTGCAATCATAGCTACTCAGGAGGCTAATATCTGAAACCATGGTTCAAAGTCAGCCCAGTTAGAAAAGTCCATGAGACTGTTATCTTCAATTAATCACCAAAAACCTAGACGCAGAATCTTGACTCATGAAAGAAGTAAAGTACTTATCTTGAGCAGAAAAGCTCAGGAACATTGTCCAAACTTAGTTCAAGTTCCAGGACCAGCTGATAGATAGATAGATAGATAGATACGTACATATATACATATATACATACATACATTGATTGATAGGCAGACAGATAAATTATTGTTTTTCTTTGGGTCTGGCTTACTTCCAGACCCAAGTCTTTTTTCCAAGTCTTTTCATTAATTAATGGGACAATGCCATTCTTTCTGATGGAAGCACAGAATTCCTTTGTGTGTAATACCATATTTTCTTAATCTATTCATCTATTGAGGGGCATCTGGGTTTATTCCATATTTTGGCTATGGTAAACAACGGTGCAACGAACATGATTTTGACAGTAGCATTAGTGTGGGCTGATTTGTAGTCATTTGGGTAAATGCCCAGGAGTGGGATTGCTGGATCATAGGGAAGCTCTTATGTTTGTAGTCTTTTTTTATATGTTTTTATTGCAAAAATACTGTACAGAGGGGTTACAATCACATAAGCAAGGTAATGAGTACATTTCTTATCAAGCATTGTTGCCTTCTCCTTTGTTTTTCCCCTACCATCCCTTCCCTCCCATCTCCAAAACTACATTCCCACGTCCTGCTCCCTCCCCCCCTCCCGCAACCACGCTTAAATTGTAAAGTTCATTTTCGACATAGCATCTTGTATATCTCATTGTTGCAATGGGTCAACCTGTATCCCTATTTAAACAATTTGGTTTTTCCCTTCCCCTCCCTAAATTATACCAACATCAAATACAGTGAAAACAGGGGTTATACTGTGGGGGAGGGACATACAAAGCAATAAAAAAAACTCATCTGGTACATTATAAATATGTTAGAAACAATAGCAAGAAAGAAAAACCACGTGTGTTGTTAGGAAATGGAAAGACTTGGAAAAAATTATATTAAGTGAAGTAAGCCAGGCGCTAAGATACATAGGTCCCATGGTTTCCCGTATTTGCAATAACTAGTATATGTCTGAGACAAGCAGAAAAGGTCAGATAAGATAATGTTAAGCAAAATGAGCCCCAAGATAAGGACACAAGTGTTTATAGTCTTTTGAGGAACCTCCATATTGTTTTCCAAAATGGTTGAATAAGTTTACATTCCCATCAACAACGTAGAAACATTCCTGTCTTTTTCTTTCCCAAAGTATTGAGCCCGAACCTTATTCTGTGAGCATGATTATGATCACAAGCCAGAAGACATGATGATTGAACCTACCTAGACCAGGAGATGGTAGGTTCTGGAGATCCTGAAGCCCTGCAAGATAAAGTCTTCTCTTCTCCTCTCTCAGCTGTGGCATTGAAAGACTTCTGAGGCATGCTGATTGCTGGCGGTACTGAAGGATAAATGGACATAGCGTGAACAGATCTGGCATTTCTCTCACAATTTTGATATATCTCTTGTCCATTTTTAAAAATTCTTAAGCTTTAAAATTAGGTAGCTACTTTCCTGTTAAATAGTAAAAGAGCAGTAAAATAACTTTATGAATACTAAAAAATACCCTTCATATCCTTCTTTTGTACAATAGCTGGAAAAAAAACATTGCAATGCTCTTTCACTATTTAGTATATGAAAATAAACAATGAACCTGGATTTTAGCAAACATATACTTGTATGAAATATATCGCATAAAAAGACAGCACCACACTGACTAAGTCAATACTAGATCTACTTTAGCCATAAATGGATTTCCTATTTGGGAACTCTCAGTTATAGGCAATGCCATAAGCAATCATTCACTGCTTCAAGACAGGGCTTTCAAATTAGGTGTCAAACCATAATGTTCTTTCTGATTAACTACACTTAATTTCTTCAAACAACTATAAAACATTTTATGAAGAGAAACTGCGTAAGCCATAGAGAGTATGAAAATAGATTTTCATGAACAATTCAGCTTCGAAATTAAGCTTCCTCAATTTCTAACTAATTATGTTGTGAAAATTGTATATGCTGCACATTTTGGACATGTTGAAACTGTTACAGAAATGCAACTGCTTCCAATAAACAAGACATTAACATCCATAACAGAATGTAAATTTCAAAGTTAAGCATAAATTGTGATTCAGTGCACTGAATATGACAAAAATCAAAAATTAATTATATTATTATTTTGCGTTTGCATATTCTAAACAACATGGCCAGACAGACACTTAGAAGTATGGTTACAATTACATCTACCTCCAATTGCTTTCAGGTCAGTATTGGTGCCATATTATCCAAAGATAATGGGCATAAGAACTAATATGCTGTGTATTTTAGTAATTAAACACAATAAATCAGTTCCCTGACTTTGAATTTGATATAGGGAGGATGATCTGTCATTCTGTCTTTGAGATAACATAATAATTACTGGCATTAGAAAAGATGGATGTTTGTTTCAGGTATTTACTTGGAATATTAAGTACATTGTCATTTGACTGCTATTTTCCTTCTCATGTAATTATGAAAAAATATAATTTAATGGAAGTGCATTGCTTCACCTTTTTGTTATTTGGAAATGCAGTTGGAAGGATTTTGTAATTATTTTTATTGTAACAACAGGATTTTTAACATTAGAATATTGCAATAACGTGAATTGTGTGTGTATATATTATTGTTATTGCAACTGTAAAGGTGATGTACAGAGGAGTTTCAGTTACCTAAGTCAGGTATTGAGTACATTTATTTTTGAACAGTGTCACCTTTTCCCTCGTTTTCTCCAAGTTTTTTCCCTCCTAACCTTGCTCCTCTACAAGTTGTCTAGTTTGTTTTCAACATAATGTCTTGTGAGCATCGCGGCTCATCACCCTCATCACGCTCTACCTATGGTTAAGCATTTGTAATGAGAATCACTTCTAAGACAGAGATGAAGTGTTGCGGGTCTTGTTTACTAAATGAAATTTGTTCATCAAAATTTTCCCATCAAAATTGCTCTAGTTTCCTGGTTTTCACTTTGTTGGACTGTGAAATGGTTTTTCTAAGGAATTACACTGAATTCTCCCCTGAAGATACCTTACTTTAATTAATACTAACACATGAAAGGTGAGGAGGGGATATCAAAGAGACAGGGTCGATGGATGAAGAGGATGAATATGTGTAGGCAATGCATAGTCTATGAAAATGTTAAACTGAAGTGGATGGGTTGGATTGGGGAGGATGGAGGAGAATGATGAATGTTGTGACAGCAATCAAGAATTCATCTTCAGTGGTAACTACTTTGAGGGGTTTGTTACCTCCTGTTTTAGACTGTTTAGTTCAGTGAGCCATATTAGATTATCTTTAATGAATTATGTAGATTTTTTCTTTTTTATCTTTAAATAGTTATAGTGTAATTGTTATTTAACAATGCCATTTATGAATACAATTGTGATCAATGTCACACTTGGCTGTATCTGACATATCAAACTTATCATTTTTCTGGCTGCTAGTTTGGGCATCAAAGATACTACTGATTTCACATTTGGATTGTCCTGTGGGTCCCTTTGGGTCCATAAAGGAACCCAATGTTTTCTCACTTTTCATGTGTTCCGTAAGAATTTATCTGATCATTTCCCATCAAACATGTCTCAGAAATGATGAATATAATGCTAACAACAGATACTTATTTAAGTTTCAGATCTTGTAAGTTCATTAGAAGCAGAAACAATTCACTCCTTCAAATTTGTTTCAGATAAAGATAACTCTGTTTTATCACTCCCCAAAGATCCACTTTGACAAGTTATTTGCTAGGTAGGTGTAACTAGATATGAAAAAATAACTCATGTAGATACTTTATCTATCTGATGATTGCCAAAATTATGACCCTTGTTATTATCCCTTTGTTTGTACATCTCAGTCATATTAACAATTGGACATATGAGACTAAAGTACCTGTACTCCTGACATCTAGTATTGATATTCTCAGTATTTATGCAAAGGAACATAGGTTTTTTTTTTAGGTCTACATATAAGTTCATTTACTCAGGATTCCATGCATTATATATAAATATTTATGATAAAAAAGTGAAATGAGTCAAAAATAGCATTTGCAAGTGTTTTTCCTATTCTTCATGGATGGTATAAAACTAGATTTTTTTAGTTCATTAGTATGAATCCATCACATAAAGAAATTCAAATGGGACATTTATACCCATGCATATAATGTACTTTGTTCAAATACTTCCCTTATGTGTTATTGTTTCTTGACCCTCCTTTTTTTTTGGGGGGGGGGGTCGGCCGTGGGGCTTAAACTCTGGGCCTGGGTGCTGTCCCTCAGCTCTTCAGCTCAAAGCTAGCATTCTACCACTTAAGCCACAGCACTACTTGTGACTTTTTTTTCTTTTTATGTGGTGCTGAGGAATCAAACCCAGGGTTTCATGCATGAGAAGCAAGCACTCTACCATGGGGGCAGCTTCCCAGCTCTTTTGACCCTCCTTTTAAGGAAAAAACACGTTCTTTTAAGAATTTTAGTGGGATTCATGACTCTACTTTATTTACTTCTATAATAGTTATGCTAGAACAATTTCTCCTTCTCCTAACCCATTGATTCCCAAAATATGTACTATACATAATCATTTAATACTTGATTATTATTTTAAGTTATTGCTTAGATGTAGATCCTGTATGTTAGTATATTGCCATGATGGTTTTCACTTGCATACATGTTTCTGCAAGTGAAAAAAAAGATTTTTGAGTGAATAATACTGTACTCTGTCTTTTAAACTCAATAAACATGTTTTTTGACTTAACCCAGCATTGGTTATCAGGATCGATAGCATTTTTAATTTCTTGAGAAATCTTCATCTTCAATCATGATAAGGATACTTTAAATACTCAATAAATGTGCATGATGGTTTCTTTTCCTGTATCTTCATGCCAGCATTTGTTATTTGTTTTCTTGATAACCACCATTCTAAGATTGGTCATATGGAAACTGTGTTGTTCTGATTTGCATTTCCTTCATGGCTACAGTGGTGGTGAGCATTTTTTCACATATTTACTAACAAATTATATTCCTTTATCTGAGAATTTTCTATAGAGTTTACTCCCTTCATAAATTGGACTAATTGTTTTTGCTATTTATATTCTTTAGCTATTTGTGCATAATATATATTAATCCTTTATTAAATAGCTGGAGAAGATTTTCTCCTATTTTGTAAGCTATTTCTTGATTCTGTTCCTTGTTTCTTCTAATATGCTGAAACATATTAATTTGAGGTAATTTTCCATTCTTGCACTTATTTTCTAAATTATTGGTATGCCATTCAGTAAGTTGTGTATATACATTTTCTAGTATTTTGCACATAATTTCATACAGTAGTTCCAAAGATTCAGGTTACATTAAAATTTTGAATTTATTTAACACAGGGCAAGAGATAGAAGTCTGGTTTTAGTGTTTTGCATGAGGACTTTCAGTTACAGAGATAAGTCCATAAAAAGTATTGGGATGGAGCTGAGTTCTGGTGGCTCATGCCTGTAATTCTAGCTACTCAGGAGACTGAAATCTGATGATCGCAGTTCAAAGTCAGCCCTGGGAAGGAAAGTCTATGAGACTCTTAGCCCAAATTAACCAACAGAAAATCAGAAGTTGTGCTGTGGTAGATGCTAGCCTTAAGTAAAAGAGCTCAGGGACAGCATTCAGGCCCTGAATTCAAGTCCCATGACCAACTAAAACAAACAAACAGACACACACACACACACACACACACACACACACACACACACACACGAATCCCTAAAACAAAACAAAATGTTCTATAGAGGGTAGGTGAGGTGCTCATATCAATGTACACAAGAACATAATAAAACTGTCAACAGACATTTTTCCATCCACAATAAATAACTTATTTTCAAATGCAACTGACCATGTAACTTGTTCTGGCCAATGGCACAGCAGCAAGCATAAGCATAAGTAGTAGCTTAAATTATCTTCAAGGTACCTGAGATACTCACCAGTCCTGAAATTGCATACGTATATGAGATAGGAAACAACTTCCAAACCTCAGATTTTGGAAAATGTTTCATTTTGTAGCCATATTATGTATTTACAAGTATCTTCAGATTAGCTGTAAATCTACTTGTCCTGACTTAAATATGATGCTTCAGATGAAGAATTTCTTACTTGAGAAACAAAGTTTCAAGGCAGAAAGAAAGACCAGGAGTTGGATGGGAAGAATAGAGGAGTAACATTGATCAAGATGTATTATACCCATATATTTTAGGTTGAAATGAATTCTCGTTAACTAAAGATCATAAAATGGATTTTAAGAAGAAGATGAGAATGTGAAGAAACATTTCATGTACTTATTGAAGGTAATTTCAGCTACTGCAGTATATTATGCTTTCTCCTATGCCATTGGTCAAAACAAGTCACATGGTCAATTGCAATGGAAAACAGCATGCTCTCATTTGGAAGCTTCATAATAACACACGCCAATGAGAAATTCTGTTGAAATACTTCCCCATGGAAGGGAAAGAGTTGTCAGTGAAAAACTGTACATAGTTTGTGATGTAGGTTAAGAAATTCATAAAGGGATTTTGAACAGAATAAGTTATTTAAAACGCAGTGTGGCTGGTACTTCAGAGGAAACTAGCAAGATGGTTTTCAAATAAACATTGAAATAAAGGGCATTTTTACAAAGAATAAACATGAAAATAGATAAAATCAAGGTTTAAATAAACAAGATTTAATAAAGAAGCAAAGCATATGAAGAGAGAGTTAGTTTTAGTATTTTGTTGGGATTTTTGTGAACTTGTGGGGAAAAGAGACTGAAAGGCAAGGAGAAAGGCCTGTATAAGATAGCAATACTCAAAAGACTGAGCTTGGAATATTAAGGGAGAGTAAAGACATGGATCAAGCATCAAAATTTAAACGGAGACAGACAATAATGTTTTAAAGTTGTACTTGCATTACAGCCTCAAAGTTTTCAATGAAAAATCTTCATGAGATTTTATCTGAGAAGCATTCTAAGGGAAACTTGTGCGAGAATCTTAGTATTTACTAGAAACCAATGCACAGAAAAGAAGTCAGCAAGACTAATAGAATGATTTTTTTCCTGGTTGAAGTCAAAGCAAAATTCTAAGAGAAAAATCATAGCTGTCTGGGTTGCATAGCCAAACATTCCCATGACAAGGCATCTTCCATTTTGTGCACAGTTAATTTTTTTCTTTTTTCTTTTTCTTTTTTGTCAGTGATCTCTGGGCCTGAGTGCTGTCCCTGAGCTCCTCAGCTCCAGGAAAGTGCTCGACCACTTGAGCCAGAGTGCTACACTTCCAACACACTGTTATTTTGAAAAAAAGACATTCTTAGTATCTGAAGGTATGAGAGTGTGTGAGCCTAAACAGAAAATGTAGCTAATTAGCATTGTCTTAAACACTGAATGTCAGGTAGGTAGGTTAGGATCTGTGGATTAATCTCTTGGAGAAAAGTTAGGATGACATACTGACTGATACACTGGTAAAAGTGTGCATTAACTACATAATATTTTCAGTGGCATAGAATACGATATTCCAGTATTTATCTTTTTTGTAAATTACAGGTTAATATAAAAACATAGAACCAAATATTCTGGTTTGAATGCAAACCATGCTGGATTTGAAGATTCCAGCTTTGTTATTCAGACCCAAGTGCACCTTCCATCAAAATCATTAATACAAACTCCTACAGATTAAATTCAGAAATTGATTAGGATATGAAATGAATGTAATAAATAATTATGAAAACAAAAACGATGACTGCAGATGACTATGAATGAGGATGAATATGGTCCAAGAAGTTCATTTGCATGTATGACAATAGAACAATGAAACTAGCTGCAAATGTTTTAAGTGAGAATGGAGTAAGACAGACAGATGGCAGGGGTTAAGTTTGACCTGGTACTTTGTGTGCATGTTTGTAATGTCACAATGAAACACTCATGTAAATTTGCTTAATGCTAATAAAAATAGAAATTATATCAGAAGAGATCATGAAGAATCATAATACTATGCTTTTCAAGTGACATTTTCATTTAAGTATATTTGAATTATTATTCACTGTAAAATATATATGATTACATATGCATGTTTATGCAATAACATAAATGGCAAAAGTACATACATACTTAATATATTTAGCAATTTTTAAACAGCTTTGTACCTATTCATGGTATTGTAATCCATATGCTTGTAAGAGAATACTTCGTGCAAAAACTTGGCCATCATGAATTTTAATTATATGTTTCCATAAGTATGTTATAAAACAAAGCATGGAGAACAGCTGGATTATTAATAAAGTAGTTACTGTATATTGCCTTTGATTAATGTAAAATAATAAAATAATAAAGATATGGGTTATATACAGTTTCATGTATCAGTTTAAATTGATAGACATACATATGAACCCAAATGTAGAGGAATTAATATTTAAACATGTCCTCTGTGTACTGAAATCTCTCCACATGAAGGTCAAATCATACAACAACTAAGAAAAACATAACTGCCAGACTCTAAAGTGCCAAAAGGGCTTCTGCAGCCTAGATCTTCATGAAGTCTGTGATTTCCACAAGGCTGAAACATAGGTCCCCATGGCAAGGTAATAAGCCAATTACAAAGTCTTCTTGTGCCCAGAAAGAACTCTGTGACTGTGTCTTACACTCAACATGAAGCACCGAAGTATTAAATGGTTGTAGGATTTAGTGTAGAAGAAAAAAGAACTGAGATTGAGATTTAAAGATCACAGCTGGAAGAAGTTCAGGAAGAAAACTCAGAGTCACATTACTGTCCTGGGAAAACATGGTACCAGAGACAAGAAACTCTCTAAGAGAACTTGAAGGGAAACCATGGTAGTAGCTTCCTCTTATCAGATTTGTAGAACAATAGAGACACAAAATGGCTTTATGAATTCCTCTTTGAGACTCACAGAATGTTTTCCTTTCACACTAAGGAATATAGTAGGAGAAACAAGTTTGAAGATAGAGATACCATCATAATCTATAAACTTAATTACTAATATCCACTGATACTTGCAGTAAATCTATTATTTCAAAAAATGCAGATGATGGGGGGAGAATAGGAAGGAGAAACAAAGGAGGAGGCTACAATGCTTGATAAGAAATGTACTCATTGGGGTGTGAGAAGGGATAGGAAGGGGAAACAAAGGAGGAGGCTACAATGCTTTATAAGAAATGTACTCATTATCTTGCCCATGTAATTGTAACCCCTCTGTACACTATTATCACAACAAAAATAAATAAAAAATTAAAAAAAAGAAATGTACTCATTATCTTGCCCATGTAATTGTAACCCATCTGTACAGTATTTTCACAATAAAAAAATAAAAATATAAATATAAAACATAAAAAATAAAGAAAAAAGAAAAATGCAGATGATGACACAGTAGTTTATAGACTCAGTAATTCATGGAATTTAAAATATAAGTCTGAAATGAAATTTTACTGTTTCATTTGGCATTCTTTCAACAACTGTAAACATAACAAAAGGCAATTTGTGTACCTACTCTTTGAAAAGTGATGTCAGAATGGGCACATCAAATAAGACTTCATATTCCGCCCCTATTGCTGCTTTACCTTTTAACTTAAACCATGAGAGAACTGGGAAGATTTCTTTTACACCTTGATATTTACTAGGGAACTACTGAGTGTTGATTTTAATACACACATTGTTAAAATGAACAGAATACTCACCAATCTTTTGATCCTTACCATTAACAATGACAATGATGTCACGGAAGTCAATCTCCCCCCTAGCTTCCACTCTCCCTTCACATCTGTATATACCTTCATCACTTTTATTGATGTTGAGAATCTGCAGATTATTGTTTGCTAGCATAGCAAACCGATCTGGAAAATAAGCACAAGGGAGAAAATTATAGCAGTAATTGAATGCTAAGTCCCGTGTGCTCTAGAATGAGAAGAGTAGAAATATGACACTTGTCTGACACTATCAAAGTTTTCATCAACAAAAAAATTCAAATTTGAAAGTAAAATGTAATTTCATGACTTCAAGTTTTCCACTCTACCCTGCCTTGTTATGATATAAACATATTTTTTTCCTAAAATACATTCAAGACTTTATATCCACATGAAATGGTTAGGCTATTATTTTTCCCTAGTGCTTTTCCTGTAGAAATGACACAGAAAAGAACACCGCAGGCCGATTAGCTATCATTGACCTGAAAACTTCTGATTTCAAACATGTCGCAGCTTGACTATGGAAAAAGGTTGAAAAATTGATTGAACATTTTGTCTTGACAGTAATTAAACTAACCATTTTTCATACACTTAGGAGGCCAGATAATATCATGAGGTTCAAGTTACATAATGTATGTAAAAATGTTTAAAATTTGAATTTATTTTTTGCTTCAGGCAAAAAAATCTTTTGAAACAAATAGATTTGGCCAATCATGTATATCAAGGTTCTATTTTTGTGTCGGTGCACCATGCATTTATATAAAAACATAAAATAGCTTGGGGACTGAATCAACTGAAAGCCTAAACTAATATTCTATCTGAGAAGCCTGTGGTTCATATCTACTTTGTATGCTTTTCAAGTCTTTTCTCATTTATGATTATTGCATGTTTTTTACAGTGCTAATTTTTCTTCATTAGGAAAGAAAAAATTGTTTCTATCTAGTTCTATTTTGCAATATCCAGGCAATGTGTTACATTATCTTTTTCAATATAACTATAAAAATAATTAACCTTATTCATTGGCTGAGTATGGCAGTTAAGATACCTTGATTAGTAGGAGCAACACAGGCTTTGTTCAGTCAGAATTTCTATGTCTAGCATCATTTGCATTGTTGAAAGGAGCTAACTGCTTAGGATATTTATAGTCCAGAGTTTAATTTTATAACATGTCCCATATTTATTTGCGCATCTTCTATCTACTGGTTGAGAGTCTAGGGAAATCTTAATAGGTCAGTCATTTGGAATTTTGCCTATTTGATCCTGCCTCAAGCCCAGATTATGGCTGTTTGTTTTTGAGATGAAGTGTCAAGGAATTCTCTGTCTAGATCGACTTTGCACTGCAATCCTCTAGGTTTATCCGTCTGCTTGGCTGGGATAATAAGGCATGGCTTTTTGGAGATCAACTGCCTACAATATACTTATTTAGTTAAGTTATTTTAAGGTTGTATTGTTTGTTTGTTTCTCATTCTGTATCTAATCCTTCGTTTGTATCATCTCTACATGTGGCAATCAATATCTATATTATGATGACTCCTACGATTTACTTGAACCAGCCTATTTCTATGTGTTCCATCTGTTTTATGAGTTTTATATGGATTTACTTACAGTAATTTTAAGTATCTAATCTCTTAAATTAAAGTTTGACTTTAGTATTTTCACTTGCATTTCCATAGTCTGACTTCATGTCTTTGCAGTGGTTTTCTCTGGACCTAGAGTCTCAAGGCAAATACTTGTTGTTTTGTGTTTAAAGATTAATACAAAATCATCACTGACATCTTATCTCCCACTGTCTGTGACACCAACTAAATCCTATATGCTTTCCTTTCTGTCATAACTTCATCTAAAGTCCTCTCCTCTCAGCAATTATTTCCACAGGATCTTAACTATTCTCACCATTAGCGTTTTGTCTTGAATCTCATCCAAGTCATTCTCTTCACTGAAACACTAATATGCTGTTTCAAATATATATTATGCCATGTCACCGCCTTCATTAAACCAGTCAGTGATGTCTGTGCTGGAGAAACTCCAAATTCCTTAGCAGAGATGTCAAAGCCATGTTGAATAGCCAGAGCTTTCCTCCTTAGGTTTCCTTATTATAATTCCTTGAGTAATCAATCCTATACTTCTGTACTAGTGTCATAATTCAAGTAGTAAATACTCAAAATCTGGAGCAATAACAAACATAGATTCCTGTGTGTTTATTCAGGCTATCATTTGCCTTTGGGCCATTTCACCTGGTGAATTCTCTTTAGGGAGAGTCTTCTTCTCCCTCAGTTGGCTAATGCCTGTTCATATGTAAAGATGCTGTTTTTCCACCTGACAGGTATCTTTCACAAGTCCTTCATTCCAGGCTGGTTAGGTCTTTTATTTTCATATAACATTACTGCAATTCCCCGACTGTACATTCTATGAAGCTTGTTTTCCACTGATACTTACCTATTTATCTGTCACTTTAGGCTATTAGTATTTTGAAGGCAATGAATTTTGTTTATCTTAAGTGTAAATCAACAACATCTAGAATTCCAGAGGACTAAGTACTAAGTATTAAATGTATCCATGAATAATTATGAAAAATAGTATATATAAATGGAGGAAAATAAGTTTGTCTATATTTTAATATAGAAAATATGTCAATTAAATATTAAGCAAAGCATTTACAAAGTATATATATATATATATATATATATAGATAGATAGATAGATAGATAGATAGAGAGAGAGAGAGAGAGAGAGAGCATTTCTGCATTTTGGTCCATCAAGGTGACCCTAAAAGTCTCAATATTGTGGGGAAAATGTTACCTTTTCTTCTTACACTTGTGGTTTAGGTCGAACATAGACATCCTTTCAATGGGTAACATGGAGAAATTCTATCTAATCTATTCTGTAGCTATTTTAATTGTGGATAGCTTTCTCCATGGTTCATTACCAAAAACATAACTATTATGATACAGACTTCCAATCCTTCCTTATCTGCTTAGAACACTGAACGTTAATTCAGTAACAGAAAGTTTCTTAGATCCTCTACATTGTTATAAATCTCTACATTGAACTTAAACTCAGCAGCAGAAACTTTTAGATCCTCTACATTATTATACGCCTCTACACAAACTTTCAGAGCTTATGAACTTTAAATGATTCCATTGGCTGATAGAAGAAATTATATGCGGTTAGTCACATAAAATATTCATCCTTGTAAGTCCAGTTTAAATATACAAATGGTTTGCTAATGAAGAATGAGACATGTTCTTCCAACATTACGAACCTAGAATAGTTTAAACTTCCTCACAATTCTATTGAATCTTATATAATACAGAAAAAATCATTTTTACCACATTTTTCCAGCCATCCAACTTGCAATTATGTTTCATATAACCACTTCACCATTACATTCTACTTTGATAAAACTTATTCTCAATATTAAAAAAATCTTGATATGAATGAATAAAGCAAATGAAACTTTTCACTATAAATAAATTTGTTCAGATTGTAAAACCAAGCCAAATAGTTTATTTACTTCAAAGATATCTATACATGGTTACTCTGTTATCAGTAATTTAAAGCCTGGGATTGACACTGATCCATGGTTTACAGATGGATAATTATTTAACAGCATAGAAGTTCAAAAATATCCATTAATGACTCAGGGACATGGAAAGAACTGGAAACAAATGCAAATTAAAATAACATCACTTCTGCATGTGATGCTTGGGGAGAAATGCCTAAATTAAATCAAAAAAACATCATCCTCCATCACTATTACTCATTTCTATAAGTCTTTGTTGAAGATGTCTATTCTACACATCCTTTAATTCCTGAAATAAAGTATATATGAAGCTTGATATTATAATATCTTTAAAAGTTTAAATATGATCTTGTAACTCTTATAACTCAACTGCCATATATTATTGAACGGAACAAGTCTGAAAATATATCACACAATTTACTCAAATAAATTCTTAAGAAACTATAAATCAGTTACACTAAATAAGGAAATGGAAAATTAAATATTAGTTCTCATTAACTTATGAGAGAAGCAATGAGAGTTTGACAATTATTAACAATCATTGAATATGCCAAGCTAAGAAAATTATCTTAAAATTAAAAAAATGACTATTGAATACAATCATGGTATATTATATCTATATTTAAAAGAGAATCTCTTTACTATTTATCCTATATGCTATAGAAATTTCTGCTCTTGGAAATACAAAATGGAATCATTTAGATTGAAAAACACTTTAAAAGATTCAATTATTTTGTACTTCCCTGCAATGCAGGTGCATTGAAAGTATTCTAAATTGAAAATGCTCCCTGTGCACAATGGGAAAGGACCATAATGTCAGCAAATTATGTTTTCAGTTTCTGATATCATAGTATTCTGAGATTTTAGCTCTGTCTGGATCAAAACCATACAGATGAATCAAGTAAATGTTTTATATTTTAGTCTTTTCTCTGTAGACATCTAACCATAATATTTAGAATACACAGTTATTTTCGAAAGGACAGCCCAGAATATTAAATAGGATTCATACAAATACTATCTTATGTTTACCAATAGTGAGCTTTTGAACTCATGTTTGAATGACAGTATTTAGAATCTGTGAGCACCGGTTTACACTCCTTTACTTACTTAATATTGAAAACAAGGGTCATAATCTTTCCTTAAATATTGTTCGGCGCCATTGGCTCAGGCCTATACTCTACCAACTCAGGAAGCTGGGATCTGAGGATCACAGTTGGAAGCCAGCACAGGCAGAAAAATCCCTGTGAGACTCTTATCTCCAATTAACCACTCAAAAAGTAAAAGTGGTGTTGTAGCTCCAGTGGTATCATGCTAGTCTGGAGCAAAAAGAGGCTCAGGGAAAGTGCTCAGTGCCCCACAATCAACAATAAATAAATAAGCAAATACATAAATAAATGGCATGTAAGCCAGTTCTTTTTTTAAAATACAGATAAGAGCTACTGGCAATACTGTATACTAAAATACTGGCTAAACTACTATGCTAGTCTATGCTAAACAACTATGGCTATGCTATGGTATTTTACAAAAACTATAGTAAAGGTGTAGAATTAGTCCTGAAGTCAATCAATTACCAAATTTTAACACACTAACTTCTTAAAGTAATTCTTGACTTTAGGGTGGAACACTGCGTTTTCCTTCCATGTTTTATTTGTGAGACAGTCTCAGGCCTGCCAACGTAAAAGGAGGAACTAGCAACCTTAGTGTCTCAACTGTTAGAATTCTGGGATTATCTCTGCATGCAATCTCATCCACTGAGCTCTACATTTTCTTTTGTAAGCCACATTAATAAAGTAATACGTTTTAGAACATATAACTTAAGAGAGTTACCAAAATACTAACTGTCGGAAATGGCGGTGAGTTCCTCATTATGATACAACCAGCTAACAGCTGGTGCAGGTGAACTGCTAACTCTGCAGACGACTTCAGCATCCTCTCCTTGCTTGAATTCTTGAGGAGAGATAACTTCTTTGAATGTGAGCTTTTCTGTATTGAGAAAATTTTTAAAAGGGATATAAAAGAATTATCTTTTTGTTTTCTCAGTAAGATACCGCAGATTAGACAATTATCCCTGCTATGGTAATTAGGTAAACCTCTATCTTTTAAAAACTCAATAATAACATTCTTTCTCACTGAGATCACCTGCAGAGTCCTTTCAGTGGGACAGGATGTCGTACCTGAGCTGGAGTCATCACCAAAACTCTTTTTTGGGGGGGTCCGTTGGGTCTGGGCGTTGTCCCTCAGCTCTTCAGCTCAAGGCTAGTGCTCTACCACTTAAGCCACAGCACCACTTCTGGCTTTTTTCTTTTTTTTCTGCTTATGTGGTGCTGAGGAATTGAACCCAGGGCCTCATTCATGTAAGGCAAGCGCTCTACCACTGAGCCACCTTCCCAGCCCCAAAACTCTTACTCTAGTGTTTCTTCCTTCTTTTCCTGCAACAGGAACATAGAATGTCTTCCTTCCATTTCCTTGAAGATTCCCCATTTTTACCAGTCTGGGACATCTGCAATCGCTTAACTTCATTTAGATTTCTACCAAATGTTTCAGGCAAAAGAGCTATATGTCTCTCTACTTCAATGTTCCCTATTTGTCTGTGTCTATACCTTCTTCTATAAAATTTTTAATATATATTTTATTGTAAAGATACTGTACAGAGGAGTTACAGTTAAATGAGTAAGGTAATGAGTACATTTCCTATCCAGTATTGTTAACTGCTCCTTTGTTTTAATAAAGGAGGGGGTAACAATGTTCTATAACATTTTTTAGCATGGATATATCACACCTATTCATTGCTTATGGATTTTTATTTATTGTCCATAATTAGAATAGGGCTTGAACAATTAAGTAGATGGACAAGATTCTCTATATTTGCTGGGGACACCAAAGCAATGCAATATTTTGGAAATGTAAATATTGGCCTTACCAAATGGAACTCGAGAATATTCTCTTTGCATCATTTTAACAAAGATATTTTATTTTTTTACAAATGCAGTTATTACATGAAGGTCTAAATCAATTTTTGTAATCTGTGAAATATGTAGTAGTGGTATAATTTAGTTACATTGTTAACGAAGAAAACAAAAAATATTCTTGTGGTATTCCACCAAAAGAATTGGTAATTCTGTGTGTTTATAGTTACCTGTGATCTAGTATCTATTCTAGGATTCGTTGAGGCAAGGTACAGAGTTCATTCTTTCCATTTTTATTTTATTTTATTTTATTATCGGTCGTAGGGCTTGAACTCTGGGTCTGGGCACTGTCCCTCAGCTCTTCAGCTCAAGGCTAGTGCGCTACCACTTGAGTCACAGTGCTACTTCCGGCTTTTTCTGCTCTTGTGGTGCTGAGAAATCGAACCCAAAGCTTCATATGTGCAAGGCAAACACTCTACCACTGAGTCACCTTCCAGGACCTCCATTTTTATTTTTAAACACATTAAATTTTGCCTGAACTCATTGTAAAGATGTACAATTGTAGGCAAAGTCAGACAAAAATGCAAGACTTACGGTAAATTTCCAAAACTACTGTTGCTTCTTGTGTCTGTCCTTTGGCATCAGTTGCTTGACAACGATATATCCCTGCATCTTCTATGTTAGCATTGTAGATGATCAATCGTGACCTGAGGCTTTCCTTCTGCAACATGACCCTCTGTGTTGAGACGATTTTCTCGCCTTGTGGATTATACCAATCTATACTCTCAGGTTCACCAATTGCTGTAAACAGCCATGGGAAAGAAATGTTTGAAAATGTGTTTTAGGAGATTCTTTTGGCAGTGACATTTATTATAATGTGACAATTTCAATTATTTAGACATGAATGTAAATAGAAGACTGGAAATCTGAAAATTATACAAAATTTAAAGTAAACACAAATGTTAACACAAATGTTCTTCTTTGTTTAATCTACATTTAGGACTCAATCAAGTCGAAGTAAGTAAATGAGAGAATAAAATCCTTAAGAAATTTCCTAGTGTTTAAACTGTAAGAATTACAAATTATTTTTAGTGATCTATGGATTATCATTACACTTTAGAAAGCAAAACTCCCAGCTTAGATATAAACTCAAGCTGATATGTGTATAGAAACATAGATACTTAATATGATTTCACATGTTCAAGCTCTTGAGTTAAGAGAAAATATTTTTTTTCTTGATAAAGCAAAACTTCCAAAACTTTAAGGATTTAAAATAAAAAAAAAACTTTGGTCTTCGATAATATTGAATTTTGTGTTAATTTCCCAAGTGGTTAAAATACATATATATGTATATATATGGCCAATTACCATTTTTTAAATGAAGTCCTAATGTCTTTTCCCAATGGAAATGCGTGCTGTTATCATTTTAAACAAAAATTATTAACTATTTAATCACATGGTAATTGGAATATATTGAAATGATACTTATCCTGCTGGGCAATTACAGCCAAATCAAATATTTATTTAAGTTCTCCAATTCAGTGTCTAGGTTATTAAGCACTTCATAAAAGTCAAAGCTCCTGTTTATGATTTTAGTAACCAAAGGAAATATTTTATCTAATTAATCCTACATTAATTTGTGGCACCAAGATAAAATATTAGCACAAATATTGTAAAAGAATAGTATATAAAGTCAACTCCATCAGCAGAACTATCTGAATGAAGTTGTTATTTTTATTACTTCATTTTCTACTTTTGATATCAAATTAGCATACTAAAGCAAATATAAAAGGAAAGTTTGGACAGGATTCTTTTTGGGGGGGTTATTTTGTCTATCATGGTGCTTGAATTCAGGACGTGGGTGCTGTACCTGAGCTCTTCTGTTCAAGGTTAGCATTCTTCCACTCTGAGGCACAGCACTATTTCTGGTTTTATGGGGGTTAATTTTACAGAAGAGTCCCAGTGACTTTTTTGCCCTAACTAACTTTGAACTGTGATCTTCAGATCTCAGTCTCCTGAGTAGCTAGAATTACAGGCAAAAACCACTGGCACACTGTTAAGATAGAATGTTTGATAGATACTATTTATGTTATCTATGGGTTTTAGAAAAAAGTCCCTAAACCACAATAACTGACCAGATAATGTGCTATAGGAATGGGCATTTTGTTTTTAATTAATCCTCCTGTAGAAAAGATGATAACATAATAATTTGCTTAAACTTCATCTTAATTTTAAACTAATCTCGTCTTCAACTATAAATTAAATAGGATATTCTAGGAAATATTTAGGTTATTTTACAATGTGATTATAGCATAGAACCCTATTATTATGGTGAGTTTATTCTCCATCTTCATAGAAATAATTCCCTTTTTAAGTCACTAATAAATAATAATTTCCATCTGTATTTTTTACACTTATAATACTGGACTTTGGGGAAATTGTTATCATTATATTTTTTTAATTAAATATTGTTGGAAAAGTCAGTTTGCTTTAAATGGCGCATTCTGATTATGATCACCAATTATTTATATCATCCAGTGTAAATATTACACATTTATTCTATTTAAAATAAATATTTAAGGTATCTAGAACTTTTAAATATTATGTACACTGTCATTGTCGAACAATATATGTAAACATTCTCATTTGTATCATTTACCACATTATTACTTTTAAATTCTTATTTTGCAGCTATAATAAATATAAATAAGATAACTTCTTTGACTGTTTTTTATTTAATATTTTATATAAAAAGAAAGAAAAGATGTAGTTTGGTTTCTTATTAAGAAATTCAGTAAACTGAATCATTTTTATTGTGAATTTATGTATGTTATGATTTAGTGATTGGTCTGAACTTAAAAAAATAGTTCCTTCTATTCTCATAATATATGTTATATATTTTGTTATTTGTCCTTACATAAGAAAACTAAACATGTATGCACATATTTGTTTCATTGGTGATAAAAATGAATGAAAATCAGTAACCTACACTGGGTGTGTTGATACATACTTGTAATCTCAGTATGAGGGAAGATGATGTGTGCTGATGCCCTAGCTGCATAGTGATTTCTATTCTAGCCTCAGCTAAGGAGTGAGACTTTGTTTCAAGAAGCACAAAACAATCAGCCCCCTACCAAAGAAAACAGTTTATCTACATTCTTCTGACAAAATACACTATATTTGGCAAATCATTTTGTTGCTCTGTAAGTTTTCATTTCACCACATAGAAATCCTGTGCTAACGATGTATTCATTCAGATCTTTAATGGTAGGATATATGAAGGATCATATACTACTGGTTTTTGCCATGAGATATGATGTTTACATCAATACTCCAAATACTGTTTAGAACTAGGTTGGTAAAACAAATTTCTAGTTTTAGTTATTTCATAAAAGTTTAAATTACTTATGTAATTCTGAAGCAATTTTTTTTCTTTTCCTTTCTTTGTGTGGTATGTGTATGGTGTGCATCTGTGTGCGTGTGTGTCTGTGTATGTGTTATTCTTTTTTGAACCAAGAGTTTATGCAAGCCAGGCAAGGACACAGCTATTGAGTTAATTCCTCAGCCTTAAAATTGACTTTCACAACGCACTTTATGTCAAGAACACTTGCTAGAATCAGTTCTAGAATTGCTTTAGTGTAATCAGAAATTAAAACAATACTCTCATAGCAATTTTATCATGACATGAAGGCCCTTGGATATTTTATACATAAAAGCTTATTTTCATAAATGAGCTTAAGATTAATCTCAATAGATATAAATGTGTTCATCTGAAATGTCTATATTGTAGCAAAGTAGATGTTAAGGTACAAGTTTCATACAGGTCTTCTGCAGAAATTATGAAACTTGGTTATTAAACTAAATTTGGCTGATATAATTTATTACATGGATCATATGTATAATACATTTGAGTAGAAGTCAAGAAGATAATAAAAAGTTTTCTTGACTGAGTAAATATCTAATATTTAAGTGAATATTTGCCTCTCAAAAGAGTAGAATTTTTTGCCCTATACTTTTCAGTCACATAACTATAATTTCATGTACCATATGTAATTCATTCATTTCTTATTTACAAAGACAGTTGTTACAATCATTATGTTGATCCAATATCTTTGCTTAGATAGAAATAATATTTAAATTAATTTCAATTTCTTAATGCAAAAATCATACTTTATAATAAGTGATTTAAATAAATGATTTAGTGTTAGCAGTCAAATTATAACAAAATGTTAAAACACTCATAATGTTTACTATGCAGAAAGTGGCTATTAAAATTTAATATAAGTATAAACGTAAAAAGATGCTATTATTAGAGAATTAAATTTCAACTACCCTTATTCAATCAATAAACTTCATCTAATGATAAACACAAAGCATGTTACCTGAAATTATATGAAGAAATACGTACCTGTACATGTGAAGAATTTAGATTCTCCCACACTAAGCTCTACTTTGCTAAGTGAAATTGTCACTTGGAGAAGAGCTGAAAAAAATATTTGGGTACAAATTAATTGTGATTGTAAAATGAACTTTAAGAGAAAAATATGTAGGCCAGCTTTTGCAAATAGCAATACTATCCCTTAAATTTTCACTCCCCATAATGGCAAAAGATATTTTTCTACAATATAAGTAAATATCATACTTGGTAAAATATTACATATTTCATAACATGCTAAACAACATTTGTCTAAATTATTATTTTTTAAATTCTGTTAGGTGCAAAGAAGGATGACATATTCAGAAAACAGACCCTCATTTACAGGCTAGGTCTTGTATGTATAATCAAAATGCCTAAATATAATTCTTGCTGAACAGTTGTAACTTTATTGAACGAGTAAATCTTATCCTGTCTCTCTAATAATTAAAATATATCTGTTAAATAACTACCATTTAATTATACAATAAAATATTTCTGTGTAACCTAGGCACACACAAAGGAAAGGGGAATGAGTACGGACATTCACGAGATAAACAAGTGTTGTCAAAGACTCCAGATAATGTCAATAAAACAGAGGGGAAGCTCACTGCCCTACAAGTTTTCTGTTCTATTTATTGCTAAAGCAACTGGCTAAGGTAGTTTCCATACTTAATGATAGGCATAGCTTTGATGATATTACAGAAAAGATAATGTAATCCCTTTCCAAATCCTATCCCACAATCTATTTTTTCTTAGAAATAGTTGATCTGTCAATAATGTAATGAAAGTGTAAGATTAAATGTAGACAAGTATGAAACCAAGATTATAAGCCTGGAACTTAGCAGTTCAAAAAAACCAAAAGGCCTTTTTTAGGTTAGCATGGGTTAAAAGGGATAGTATCCAAGTATAGAAGCTCCAGACTTAGTATAGAAGCTCTAATGATTAGGAACTAATCATTAGATTAGGAACTACTGTAAGTCAATGGATGAAACAGAATCAATAAATCCTCTAGCAAAAATAAATGGCAAGGAAGTTGCCCAATTAACATGAGCAGGAGAAGGTGTTTTCTTTAGAGGACTCAGGGTTCTATCATATCCCAGTGTGAGATTTTAACTGTGAACATATGTTTTCTAGCAAAGCCAAAATAGCTAAATTAGTGAATACGACCAGACATGCACAGGGCTCCCTGGAAAATGGTGAAGGAAAAACATCATCTCCTTGTAAAACACAAGCTGTAGCCATTGGCCACTACTTTTATATTCTTTTTTTTTTTTTGTCTAAATTCACACACTGTTCTCTTAAAGGCAAAAAGTAAAATAAGACAAAATAAATGGACTCATAAAATTTCATCAGATGTAAAGCATAGGGGTATGTATACTGTAAATATAGAATTAAATAAAATGTAAAATCAAAACCAGTTTAATAGGTAGAAGAAAGGCTTTCAGATGCTATCATCATTATGTAGGTTTGAAGAGATGAATTTATATATTACAGATGCATTACACTATCATATGTATTATATTATCATATATATTTTATGTATGTATGCATATCTATATACATTACACAGTATATACACATATCATGCATCACTCATGGTCCCAGAAATATATACAAATTTAATGATTGATCTGTTAGTATTAATTTAATTGTAAAGAAAAGGTTCAGAATAATGTTCAAGAAATACATGTCACTATGTTGTTTTAAGTCTATAAAATATGTTTATTCTATTATCTTTCCGGTATTTGGTTGATGCATTTTCTGTCAGAAACATCTCTTTTTGCAATTTGAGGCCTTAATTTTCCTCAATACCGATAATATATGTCATATTAGTGTGACTCAACACCGGTTCAAGGGAATAGTATTTCAGAAGAAAATTACAAGCATGATCACAAGTTCAAAAAAGAGGAAGAAACAAGTTGAAACACAGAGAAAAAAAAAATCTTAAAATTTGAATAATGCTAGTTTCCAGTGAAAAAAATCAGAGAATTTCTTTTCATTTAATGTAGTAATTTGTTTCTTGGTGAATTTAGTTTAAGTTGTATGGGGTCCAAAGTTTCAAAATGCAGAAGAAATCAACGTTTCTGAAAATGTAAGAAGTTTGAATCTGAAGAGATACAGGTGATTATTGCTATCAAGGGCTTTACTTGGTCGCAGGAATTTAATAATTTGGAGAACACTTGAATATGCCTAGTCATATAAACAAAAGAGGCAAGAAGAAGCATTGGGTCACAAGAAAGAAAGTGTTGGTATATTTGCCATTCTCTTTTATTCTTTTACTTTCTATTTTCAGATACCAACTTTTTAAATTTAATTTAATTTTATTTTATTTTTTATTGTGAACATACTGTACAGAGGAGTTACAATTACATGGGCAAGATAATGCGTACATTTCCTATCAAGCATTGTCAGGTACCAATTTTTGCAAATCTGTAATTTCTTGAGTACAGGGCATTAACAATAGCTTTACTGTCTTTTGTAGAAATAAAGCTATCAGATAATCTGAGCTGTTTCTGCTAATTGTAATTTAAACAAATATGGTCTCTAAATTTAGCATACATTTACATTTCTAAAGAATTCTAGAAAAAAATAAATTTGACCACAGTTGGTTGTTTAAAAGTTGAATAAAGGTCTAGATACTTTTACACTGATATGCTGATGAGTGCAATGAAGTACATTTATTCACTAGTGATAAAGTGAAATTCACTATAAAATTAATTAGTGCATATTTTCAACACTTGGTAGTTTTTCACAAGTTATCAATACAATCACTAACTAGAACCATATTTTCCTTAGATATTAAAGAAAATAGGAATACTGGAATCTTATATTGTTATCTGTATTTGAAATTATAAAGACCAAAAGAAACAAAGTTATTACTTCACTACAATTTCCAAAGGGCACTTTTGTTTAAGTTACCTCTACAGATTTGCTAATGTATGTGGATCTCAGATAAAATCTAGAGCACTAAAATTCAAGTCATGCCCTGATTATTGCTTTAGTGGTTTAACATTCAGTATTTCTTGTGATTAGTCTTGACCTATGACTGTCTTCAAATGACTAATTTTGGTCCCAAATGTCAGAAGAAAACTAAAGTAGTTTCTCATGTCAAAAGTTGTATTTAGAGAAAATTAGAAAGGTATGAGATTTTTGACATTTGTCCAACTAATCTGACTCCTTCTGTCTTGGACATTACAATTAGATTCAAAAAAACCAATGTGGACAATGACATTTAGTCTTTACATCATTCAACACAAATGAAAAATTTGTAACTAAAGCTTGTTTGTGGTTTGAGATTAAAATGGCATTACATAATGGCAAACTACATAATTTGGATGACTTACTCTTTTCTTTTGCTGAATTTTTCAAAAAAACTTTCAATGCATTATAATGCAGCATTTACTCATAGAAAGGTTACAATTTTAACAAGTATAGCAAAGGAGACTGAGCATTGTTAGAAGGAGAAACATTTAATCTCATGAGATTAATTCGAAGATAGTGCAAAAAGAAATCCCTAGGAGTGCCTACCAGACAGTGTAGGTACTTGACAAACATACAATGTCCTCAAATCCTTCTTTATCAAACAATCCCACAAGTTTCCTTGAAATAAGCACTAGTTAATAGGTTTGGGGAAAATCTACCGAAGAGTGTAACCTGTCATGTCTCAGTTCATATTCTTCCATTTCCTAAGTCTCTTGTGCTTTTGGATATTGTATCAGAGAATCTTATTTAATTTGTGCTTATTTTAAGGAGCTAAGTAAATCTCATATCCCTGTGGTTTGTAGCTCAATGATAATTAACAGCACCATCCGGGTTCTTGGGTAACTCAAAGAGCAAAAAGTGTCCAGAGGGGCCGGATCACCACTCCAAGACTAGGAGTTTGAGTTCGTTCTGCTGATGACTTCGTTTTCAGTGCAGATAAGAGCTTGCAGGGCCAAGCAATCAGGGTAAAGGACTTCCTCCCATCGAGATTCTGCATCAGTCACCCTGGCCTTGACCAGCTTCCCATTGGCTTTTCAAAGCCCGGGCATCGCAGTATAACCCTCGTCCCTGGAATACTTCTCCAGAGCAGTAATTGATTAGACCCCACAGAGGTGTGAGCCACAAGAGGGAACAAATCAGAGCGGTTAAGGCAGGCTTGGAGAGCTCCTGCAGGCTTCAAGAAACCTGTGATTGAGTGTGGGGCCTGGTAAGTCTAAAGATCTTGAAAGTCACACAGCTCTCCGGGGGAGAACCTTTATTAACCCCTGCACCAGCACCCCAGTAGCCCTTCCGCCTGCCCGGAGTTCTGCTTATCTTTTTCTTTTTTAAAATGTTTCATTCTTAGGTAGAAAAGATATGTTGCCTTTGAAAAAGTGTGATTGTTTAGACTGCCTATAAAATAGACTGCTTATAACATCCAGTGGAAATTCACGATTGAATTTATCATAAATCAGTTAGTAAACCATTTTGTTTTAGAGAAAGAGCTAAACAATCTAAAGATCAATAAATATTTTCAAAAGAGATTCTCATTTAAGGAAAAAAAAATAATGATTCCATTGTGAATGACTCTCAATAAAGCACATGAACACAATTTTAAACTTGAATGTATTACTTTAGTAGGTACATTTTATAAGTCAGTCTTAGATGGCATACAAAAGAATAGCCTTACTGTCAAGGGATTTACAATTCATTGGGGAGTGTAGTAAAACTGCATAAAATAGAAACAATAAAATGTCCATTTTGTTATTTATGAAATTCATGATGAAATCTTTGCAATGTTCTAAGACCAAGACTATGAGCTAGATGTTATATTAAAAGATGAAAAGAGGAGCTGGGAAGGTGGCTCAGTGGTAGAGTGCTTGCCTTGCATGCCTGAGGCCCTGGGTTCGATTCCTCAGCACCACATAAGCAAAAAGAAAAAAGCCGGAAGTGGCACTGTGGCTCAAGTAGTAGAGCGCTAGCCTTGAGCTGAAGAGCTGAGGGACAGCGCCCAGCCCGGAGTTCAGGCACCACGACCAGACCCCCCAAAAAAACAAAAGATGAAAAGAGAAATGTATACCATGAAGAAATTCACTCAGAATGGT